GACTGCCTTGACCACAGCTCTAGTGTTAGTTTTGCCATCAGCTTCAGGTTCATATACGGTATATTGTGATGCTTCTCGGGTCGGCATTGGGTGTGTGTTAATGTAGGAGGGTAGAGTGATTGCTTATTCTTCTAGTCAATTGAAGCCTCATGAGAAGAACTACCCAGTTCATGATTTGGAGTTGGCTGCCATTGTTCACGCGTTGAAGATTTGGAGGCATTATCTCTATGGAGTGTCTTGTGAGGTGTTTGCTGATCATCGTAGCCTCCAGCACTTGTTCAAGTAGAAGGATCTCAATTTGAGGCAGCAGAGATGGTTGGAGCTGCTAAAGGACCATGATATTACTATTTTGTACCATCCGGGAAAGGCCAATGTAGTGGCTATGCCTTGAGTAGGAAGGCGGTGAGTATGGGAAGTTTGGCTTATATTCCTGTTGGGAAGAGACCTCTTGCGATTGATGTTCAGGCCTTGGCCAATCGGTTTGTGAGGTTGGATATTTCGGAGCCCGGTTAGATCTTAGCTTGGTGGTTTCTCTGTCTTCCTTGTTTGATTGTATCAGAGAGCGCCAGTATGATGATCCTCATTTGTTTGTCCTCAATGACAGAGTTCAGCATGGCGATGCCAAAGATGTGACTATTGGTGATGACGGGGTATTGAGGATGCAGGGCCGGATATGCGTGCCCAATGTAGATGGTCTTCGGGAGTTGATTTTGGAGGAGGCCCATAGCTCGCGGTATTCTATCCATCCAGGTGCCGCGAAGATGTACCGGGATTTGAGACAGCACTATTGGTGGAGGAGAATGAAGAAGGATATAGTGGGGTTTGTAGCTCGGTGTCTCAGTTGTTAGCAGGTAAAATATGAGCATCGGAGACCGGGTGGCTTTCTTCAGCATATGGATATTCCAGAGTGGAAGTGGGAGTGGATCACCATGGATTTCGTAGTTGGACTCACACGGACTTTGAGGAAGTTCGACGCTATTTGGGTGATTGTGGATCAGCTGACCAAGTCTGCGCACTTCATTCATGTGTGTACTACCTATTCTTCAGAGCAGTTAACTGAGATTTATATGCGAGAGATTGTTGGCCTACATGGTCCCGGTTTCCATCATTTCAGATAGAGGTACTCAGTTTACATCGCAGTTTTGGAGGGCCGTGCAGCGAAAGTTGGGCACTCAGGTGGAGTTGAGCACAACTTTTCACCCTCAGACGGACGGACAGTCCAAGCGCACTATTCAGATATTGGAGAACATGTTGCGCGCTTGTGCCATTGATTTTGGGGGTTCATGGGATCAGTTCCTGCCGCTCGCGGGTTTGCTTATAACAACAGTTATCAGTCAAGTATTCATATGGCTCCATATGAGGCTTTATATGGGAGGCAGTGTAGATCTCTAGTAGGTTGTTTTGAGCCGAGCGAGGCTAGGCTTTTGGGTACAGACTTGGTACAAGATGCTTTGGACAAGGTGAAGGTGATTCAGGAGCGACTTCGTACAGCTCAGTCGAGACAAAAAAGTTATGCTGGCAGAAAGGTTCGTGACATGTCTTATATGGTTGGGGAGAAGGTTCTGCTGAAGGTTTCACCCATGAAGGGTGTTATGAGATTTGGGAAGAAGGGCAAATTGAGTCCTCGGTTCATTGGGCCTTCTAAGGTGCTTCAGAGGATTAGGGAGGTGGTTAATGAGCTTGCCTTGCCACCTAGCTTAGCGAGTGTGCATCCGGTATTCCATGTTTCTATGCTCCGAAAGTATATTGGCGATCCGTCTCATGTTTTAAATTTTAGCATGGTTCAGTTAGATGGGGATTTGACGTATGATATGGAGCCAGTGGCTATTTTGGAGCGACAGGTCCGAAGGATGAGATCAAAGGATATAGCGTCAGTAAAAGTGCAGTGGAGAGGTCGGCCCGTGGAGGAGGCTACTTGGGAGACCGAGCGGGAGATGCGGAGCAAATATCCACACATGTTTGAGGCTTCAAGTATGTTTCTGGACTCGTTCGAGGATGAACATTTGTTTAAGAGGGGGGGATGTAACGACCCGGCCGGTCGTTTCATGAGTTGTAGCCCTGTTTCCCCTATTTCTTCTCCCTTTTGTGTTCTTCAGTTATACTTGATCGTATCGTGTTAGTTGATTCAGGTTCGGAGTGGTTTTGGAGTAAATTGAGACACTTAGTCTCTTTTGAGAAGGCTTAAGTTGGAAAAGTCAATTGAATGTTGACTTATGAGTAAACGATCTTGGATGTGAATTTTGATGGTTCGGTTAGCTCCATTAGGTGATTTTGAACTTGGGAGCGCGTCCGGAATGTGATTTGGAGGTCTGTGGTAGAATTACGCTTGAATTGGCGAAATTGGAAATTTGGCGATTCTCGGTCAGTAGTGGAACTTTTGATATCGGAGTCGGAATGGAATTCCGCAAATTGGAGTAGGTCCGTAGTGTCATTTATGACGTGTGTGCAAAATTTCAGATCATTCGGACGAGGTTTGATAGGTTTTGGCATCGTTTGCGAAATTCAGAAGTTTAAAAGTTCTTAGGCTTGAATTCGAGGGTGATTTGGTGTTTTGATGTTGTTTTGAGTGTTCCGAATCTTCGACTAAGTTTGAGTTGTGATATGTGACTTGTTGGTATTTTTGGTTGAGGTCCCGAGGGCCTCGGGATGAATTCGGATGGTTAACGGAGGAGTTGGAATTGAGAGTGTGCAGCTGAAGCTGCTGCTTCTGATATTTCCGCACCTGCGGATTGGGGACCGCATGTGCGAGGTAGCAAATGCGTAGGGGAGGCCGCAGATGCGGAATTTGAGGGCCAAGAGAAGAACCGCATATGCGGGACCGTGCGGTCTTGGACTTTTATGTGGAAACCGCAGGTGCGGTCTTGGACTTTTAAGTGGAAACCACAGGTGCGGTTGTTTGGACCGCAGAAGCGGTTGCGCAGGTGCGAGAAAAGGGTCGCAGGTGCGAGATGTCTGGGCAGAATGTATAAAAGGGAGGCTTCGCGAATTTCGGGCTATCTTCCACCATTTTTATCCGTATTTGGAGCTTTTGGGAGCACTTTGAAGAGGGATTCAAGGGGGTTTTCATTGAGGTGAGTAATTTGAGCCCTAATACTCGTGTTTTTGGTAATTTCCCGTGGTTTTATCATGTAATTAGTGGTGATTAAGGGTGAAAATGAGGGGTTAGGGCTTGGAATTTTGGAGAGTTTTGATTGAGGATTTGAGGGGTCAAATGGAGTCGGATTTTGATAAATCTTGTATGTATGGACTCGTGAGTGAAGGGGCTTTCTGGTTTTGTAATTTTTGTCGGATTCTGAGACGTGGGCCCGGGGGCGGGTTTTGGTGAATTTCAGGATTTTTGTACAAGTTGATAATTTTTCGTATGGAATTGGTCCCTTCGCCTATCTTGATTGCATTGGCTTTTGGTTAGATTCGGGACGTTTGGAGGCCGATTCCAGGGGCAAAGGCGTAGCGGAGTAGGATTTGGCTTGGTTTGAGGTAAGTAACGCTTCCAAACTTGTTTCTGAAGGTTCGAAACCTCGAACTATGTGTTATGTGATTAGTACTGAGGTGACACAAATGCCAATTGACGGGCGTGCGGGCGTGCACCGTGAGAACTGTGGCCTGGTTCATTCCATGGCACCGCTTAATAACTCTTTCTTGTTTATATCCGTGTTTCTATCATGTGCTTAAGTAAATGTGTTGTAAAACATGCTAGATATCATGTTAGGGCTTCACGCCGTTACTGTTGAGACCCGAGTGGTCGTTTCTTGCTGACATACCATTAGTTTCATTGATATTCTGTACTCGGTCTTATTCATGCATATCATATCATGTCTCAGTCTCGGTTGTTATTATTTGGTACATCATATCATTGTTCCGGGCTAGTTTCATGGCATTGTGAGCCCGTGTGTACGAGACTGGAGAGTGATGACTGAGTGAGGCCGAGAGCCTAATTATGAGTGACAGTTATGGGATCCGGCTGCACGCCGCAACGGTTATGTTGATGATTGTGATGGGCTGTAGGAGCCCCTCCAGAGTCTATAACACACCCCCAGTGAGCACAGTTGATATTTTGAGGGATGGATCTTCCCTAGACATGGATCTTGTCCGAAGTATTTATACCTGGAGATGGATCTTCTCCATAGGGCTGGAATGGACTTCCTCGGTATTGAGTGACTGTTGTCAGCGATGTGTATATATTTCGGGATGGATCTTCCCTGGGCCGGATGACCATATACAGTACCAAGTGGTTAGCACTTGAGAGTGGAGGTACATGGTACATTTTCATGCATTTTGTGCATTGGCACGTAGAGATTAGCTGAGCTTTATACTTCACATTGTTCAAATGGGTATTTACTTTACTGTTGAGCCAAATACTTGAATTGCAAGCATGTCTACTTTACTGTACAGTTTAATTGTGTTTACCTGTTGAGGTTTTGGTTCGTTACTACCTATCTGTCCATAGTTTGGACTTGTTACTTACTGAGTTGGTGTACTCACGTTACCCCCTGCACCTTGTGTGCAGATCCAGGTATCTCAGGGCACGGCAACGGCTGTTGACAATTCCAGTCGCGGACTTTCACCGGAGATAGCGAGGTAGCTGCCTGGCAATCGCAGTCCCACCTTTCTCCTTCCTTATCTTCCTTTTAGTATACATTGGCTATTTTCAGACTATTTTAGTCTTGTTATATTTCAGAACAATATTAGTATTTGCTTATGACTTAGTGACACCCAAGGTCGGGCTTTTATTTTCGCATTTTGGCTTTTGAATTTTTCTCTATTACGGAATTTCAGTATGAAAAAGGTTATTATCTAAGTTTTAATGGAATATCGAATCATTTTGGGAAATGTGTCGGCTGGCCTAGTTCTATGATAGGCGCCATCACGATCAGGTTGGTTTTGGCATCAGGACAAACAGGAAAGAAGAAATTGTCTTCTCTTGATGTGCTAAAAGTAACAAGTAAAAGTGAAAATCTATTTTTAAAATACCGGACAAGTAAAAATGAATACAGAGAGTATCACGCAACAGTGGAAAGTATTGAAAATAGAAAACTTCGAGAATTGGATAATACAAATTACAGCTGGAGTCCCCTTGGCATCAGAAGATACGTAACCAAGAAATGCTTTACAATTATGAATTTACAGATTGAAAAGTCTAAATAGAAAACATATATCAGAACTAATATTTGAGCTCAAGCGTCATATTATTGCTTAGAAGGAATAAATCAACAAAAACAAGACCCAAAACGAATGAATATATATGTACATAAATAGTATAGAGCACTAGTTGTAATTTGAACTCTTGTTAACTTGCCATCATAACTTTGAACTCGTCAAAGCTGAGAACTCCGTCTCCGTTAAGATCAAACCTTTGAATCATAGCCTTGCAGTTATCAATGGAAGTTGACTCACCGAGTTGACTCAGCATCCTCTTCAAGCTCTTAGGAGTAATGTAGCCACTCCCCTCCATTTCATACATTCCAAATGCTCCTATCAACTCACTATCTTTATTCCTCTCCTCTTCCATTCCTTCCATTAGCTTTGTAAAATCCTCCAAACCCAACAATCCATCCCCATCAGAATCCGATAGCCTCACCGCCATCTCCGCCTCCTCCACCGTCAACTCGCCTCCTACCGCCTTCACACACCTCCTGAGCTCAGCCGGTGACACTTTTCCATCTCCATTCTCGTCAAAGTATGTAAATACCCTCTCTAACTCGCCATTGTCACTACTACTACTCACTGAAAGATGGTCAGCTGTTGTCGTCGTTGTCATTGTCGTTGGACCCTCGTCTTCCTTCTGAGGAGTTGTCTTTTTTAGCGAAAACCTATTCCATAGTCTTGAGAAAGCAGACTTGTTTTCATGACTAGGTACAAAAACTGACTTCATACTCATGCTAACAAACGCGTTTAGACTACCTTTTTTCCAAGGAAGTTTGAGATGTAAGTAGAATATGATTAAGTGCGAAAAGGTTTTAACTTGAAACAAAGAAAACTTGGGAAAATTTTGGTAAAAAACTCTTGAAAAACAACAAAGGATATGGGGATGAAGGAAGAAGAATGGGATATTTATATATGAAGAGTGGGAAGGGGAGCAGAAAGTGGTAGTTAGTGGCAACTAAATGGCGGTCCAAAAGTCTGTATTTTCCGTAGGCTTACCACTTATAGAAACTTCTTGAAATTAAAATACAAAAATAGGTTCTTATAAGTTTGAAAAGTAAAAGTACACACGCTATGAAAGATGACAATGATGTGAGAAAGAGCTGACTTTTAGGATAAGTCTTATCTTAATATTGAGGCTTTTAAATATAGAATATTGTCTTATTTGAATTTGCCATGCATCTCTTCTTTTCCATGTTTCCTTTACTACTTTAAGGGGCGTAAAGTATATATGTGATGGGTTTAATTGAACACATGATTTTTGATTCGAGGTATAAATTTATGTGCAAAATCTACTAAAATTGTAATAAATAGTAGATTTGAACTCATAACTTCAAAAATATAACGAGTTCAATAATAAAAATCCTAATGAGTTTAAATTCTGGATCAGCCCCTCTAGCTACTTTTATATAATAAAAAAAATTGGCGTTGGTGGAGCTGAACTAAAAGCTATCTTTGGCATATTGTTTCTTGTTTGTTAGTAACTCCTCTTACCTTTCTTTTAGTTCAAGGGGTGAGATGCGGTTGAAGAATTTCGAGCTGTGACATATAGTAGATGTAACAAATGGTTTACAGTTTACTGGTCTTAGCGTTTAGTTTTGTATATATACTCCCTCCAGTTTAAAATAAGTGATTTTTTGGCCTTTTTTTGTGGTCTAAAATAAGTGATTTTTTTAGATTTCAATAATGAATTAATTGTTTTTTTTTCTACACTGCCTTGGAGTAAATAATGTTGGAATATGTGTTAGGAGTGCTTATGTGAAGAGATAGTAAAGATTAATATGATCAATTTCTTTGCTAATTAATGTTAAAAGATGAATTTCTTAATATGTGTGAACACAACTAAATCATTTAGCTTTAGTTTAGTTTTCCATAGAATGCATATCTAAAATAGTGTTCCTTTTTTTGTTATGTGATGTTCGATCGAACATTAAAAAAAAAACTGTTGAAATTTGTGGTTTAAAAAAGTCTTAGCGTGTGGGTATAAATCATTTTATTAAAAGAATAAAAAGTTTACGATCAAATTATTTCTAAATGAGTATCTTTTATTTTTATTTTTGAATAGAACATTTTTCAAGTTTGACTACTTTTCATCATTTCCTCTCAAAGTATCCCTTCACTAATTTCTGGGAATGGTGTAAATATATCCTTGAATTTTGCGAAATTAGTCGTTCAAGTCCTCCATTAATAGTTCCTTCAAATTGTCTTACCGTTAGTATATGTCATTATCTAACGAGTCATTTTATTCAACTTAAAATCCTTTAAATGCCACGTTTCAAAATAATCCAAACTCATTTATCGCCCTCATTTCACCCGTTGACTCCTTTCCTCATTATTTATCTCTTTCTTAAGGTTCACGCACGGACAGTTTGATATTTGGTGTGTGCAGTGTGCCGTGAGGGCATTATAACATGTTTATCATTCTAATTCTTATTATTGATTTAACAAAAAAAACTGTTTTGGCACTTTACCCCTATCCGATAACTTTTAATAAGAAAATGGCGCGCTCAAGCTAAGCTAGCCGAAATCGATATCTCAATTTTTGTGTAAACACCATAATATGAAAGCAAGAAAAATTTAAATTGCAGAGTCCAAAAATAGAAATGAATTGAAGGAAAAAAAGAGAGGAAAAGTTTAGCGATATACTGGAGTAATTACGTAAATCACACGAGGGTATGACCTAGTGGTTTAATAGAGTGGGTTGAGAATCCTAAGATTCAGGTTCAAATTCTAACGAAGACAAAAATACTCGTAGGTAATTTCTTCTCATCTGTTTAAATTGAGAAGAACGGAATTACCTGGTCCCTATTATTTATGAGAATAGTAAATATCTCATTAAATTAATCAAGGTACGTGCAAACTGTTATAAAAAACAAAATAATAATAGAGTTACGGAAGACATAAATGGATTAATAAAATATGAAGGTAGCAACTTCATGTCAGGTTCATCACCGTACAATATGATATTTTGAGGTGTGCAATTAATTAGGCGAATCACATGTATACTGTTAAGATATGGAATGAGTGTGGAGTTGAAGCTCAAGTTCGAGCTTCAATGGTGTTCCTCTAGAACATTCTGAGGGAGGAGCACTTTGTCAGATGAGGAAATTTAGAAAATGAAATGAAGTGGAAAGTCTAGTCATTCCATTACTGTAATGAGTATATATATGTCCATGTATACATGCTGAGTTGGCAGCTACAACTAAATAATTTCTAACTACTCAACTAACACATTCTACTCACATAACAGTATATACATGAATATTATAAATATACAACTCTCAACACCCCCCCTCAAGTTGGAGGTGTCATATACACTGCCAACTTGCTCAATACAGCTGAATGTTTTGCTCCAGTTAGGACCTTGGTAAGTACATCAGCCAATTGGTTCTCACTTGTCACATGCTGCAATGAAATCAAGCCCTCTTGTAGCTTGCTCCTTACAAAGTGGCAGTCCACTTCAATATGTTTTGTTCGTTCATGAAACACAGAATTTCGCGCTATATGTAGAGCTGATTGGCTATCACAAAAGACTTCTACTGGTTTGTTGAAAGGCACAGTGAGTTCTTCAAATAAGCTGCACAACCATACCAACTCTCCTACTACCTTTCTAAGTGCTCTATACTCTGCCTCTGCTGAAGATAATGAAATTGTTTCTTGCTTCTTAGACTTCCAACATATAGGGCTATTTCCTAACAGAACCAAGTACCCACTCACTGATCTTCTTGAGTCTGGGCGAGCAGCCCAATCAGAGTCACAATAAGCTCTAACCTTTAATGCTAGATCCTGTGACATGAATATTCCCATTGAGGGATCACCTTTCAAATACCTAAGTAAGTGAAATGCAGCCTTCAGGTGAGGTTCTCTTTGATCTTGCATGAATTGGCTGAGGTGTTGCACACTGTAGGCTATGTCTATCCTTGTATTTGTGAGAAAATTTAATTTCCCTATCAACTTCCTGTAGTATGTGGGATCAGGTAATGCCATGTCCTTCTTTACGCTCTTAACTTACACTGA